TCTTACCTTCAGCTCAGCCCCATTACAACCTGAATAAAGACCTCTTGATCTTTGTGCATGTGAATTAAGTATGGAAAGTGAGAATATTATCAAGCTTATGAAAATATTGATACAGTGAAAATTTGAGTGAAACACTTACCCTTAGACAGATGAGTGATGAATGACTTGATATATCTAGTAAGGGATGTGTTAAAACTCAGTGTTTATGCTTGACTGACTGAACTCATACTTGGATTTTATAACTTACTTACTTTCAAGTATGCTTAGTTAATTGCTTGTTCTTAAAAATCCTATTATTTTTTGTCTAAGTCTGATCATTCATAAATTGATGTATTGCCTAGTTTTATATTAAGCATGCTTACATTATTCCATGTTTTTAATTCAATTCATTGTTGAGGACAGCAATGAGTAAATCTGGGAATGTTTTGATAAGTGTCTGAGACACTATGTTTTTATGGCTAAAAAGAGTTCAAATAATTATTAAAATAGTTAAAAATATAGTGTTAAAAAAATAAAATAATAAAACAGAATGAATTGCCAACAAATAAACAAATTCTAAATATTTGTTGTTGTTTCAGGTTGTTGAGACTGGAATACTGGAATAACAAAGTAACAAAATGAGGCAACGAATCCGCGGAGCAATGGAAAATCAGAAATGAAATAATAAATAAAATAAAAATTGTAACGCTAGCAAAGTTACTAGCTAGAGCTAGCAAGTAGGCGAGTAGCTAGCAAAGTTGCTAGCTAGAGCTAGCAAGTGGGCGAGCAGCTAGCAAAGTCACTAGCTAGAGCGAGCAAAATGGCCAGCAGCTCGCTAAGGTCTTAGCATAGGCGACCGATGGTGCGAACGGATCCAGGAAATTAAAGCCAATATTTTCCCTTTAAATACAACGCGAAGGAAGCCGTAAAAATCATTCTGGAACGCGGAAAAAGAAGGCACTCAGAGACGAAGCGAAGGAAGGAGCATAAGCGTAGCACTGGATCGTGGCAAAGGAGAAGGAAGGAGTCAACTCTGCACCATTGATCATCACTTTTAGACAAGTTTACCATGAACTCAGTTTCTTTTACAGTAGATTTTAATTTTGTCTTTATGAGTATGTTAGGCTAAATTACTTTTAGTAGTTAGGAAGATACAGAACCAATGGGTTCTTAGTTGATGTTTGTTTATTTTTATGAATTATATTCTTGTCTTTGAATTATGCAATCAATCAGATATATATGATTAGTTTTATTTATGACTTGATCACTCGTAGATAAACATATGAGTCATATATGACAATAGGGATGTTGGTATATGATTCTGATTGGTGGATTGCTGGAATTTGCATGGTCTAGGGATAGACTTGTGAGTTTTATAACTTGAATTCTTGCGTTAATGCTTATTCTATGAAAAAGTACTAAGGGATTAGGCTTTGGATTAGGGTAAAGGATTAGATTACCAAGGGATTGGGATTTAATTAATTGTAGAAAGAGCTGTTAATAATTCAATCGGGAATGTAATCGTAAGAATAGACAAACACGTTAAGAAACTATTGGGAAAGTTGAATCCTAACTACGTTTTTTTTATTAGAAACTTAAATCAATTTTTATCTTTAATTAATTCAGAATTTATTTTATAAAAATATTAAAAACCAAAAATAGTTTACAAATTCTGTTTTTACTTTAATCACAATATTCTTAAGAAAACCTTTAATGATCGATCCAACTTTAATTAAATAAATAAATTATTGCTTGGTCATCAGTCCTCGTGGGATCGACAACTCTACTTTATCACTTTATTACTTGTACGACCGGTGCACTTGCCAAGTTCGTCAACAGCTCACTATAGTGAGTTTATTCAGCGAGTTAATGTGCTGGTTTCGTATTCTGAGCATATCTTGGGCTGTATTTGTTCAATTGATGTGATCTTTGTCTCGTTGGAAATATAAAATAAAGATCTACATCTTCTATGAAGAACACAAGATTCAAATCTATATCTATCATCTTGGATACTAAAAATTGACTGGAAGACAACTCCACGAGAATTTTCACTAACTCACTGCTCTTCCATTATCGCTTTAAGTTCTTCCAACTTATCCATTGCTCCAATGCTCAAATTTAACAATTTAAATCTGAAACCAATATATTTTTAAGTTAGAATCATGTCCAAACATTAAAACCCTGAAGTCTTTTGCATTGATTAATTATCACTATGTTCTTGAACATATTCATCATTATTTAATCTATTTTTAACCCTAAAAATATAATGTCTTTGACTCTTATCATTCTCGTTGGCTGTTGGTTCAAGATCTTATCCACTGGTCTAAATATGGCCTTTTCAGGTGCAACCTATATGATTGGTTTATACTCAAAAGATGTCAAAGCCTCTTTGGGTTATGACCAGTCAACTCTCAACTTGACAAGCTTCTTCAAGGACCTTGGTGCTAATCTTGGAATTTTCTCAGGTTTAATCAATAAGATTAGCCCTCCTTGGGTGATACTACCATTGGGGATTCTATGAACTTCTTTGGCTACTTCATGATATGGCTCTCTGTCACAGGACACATTGCAAAACCCCAAGTTTGGCAAATCTGTCTATATTCTTATATTGGTGCTAATTCACTGTCTTTTGCAAATATTGGTGCATTGGTCAATTGTGTCAAAAGCTTCCCAAGAAGCCGTGGTAGTGTTATTGAACTTCTCAAGGTTTACGTGGGTCTAAGTGGTGCCATTTTCACGAGAACTTTTGGAGTAGTACTGTAATATTTATATTCATTTTAAAAAGAAAAAATTATTGGGACCCAAAAGGGAAACATAAACAAAAGCCTAGGTTCTAATAGAAGAAAAATTTTCTTATTTAGAAAAAGAAGTATTCGGTACCCTGCTGTATTGAAAAAATCCCATTTTCACTCGATTCTACCATGCCTTCTATGGGGACAACTCAAAAGATCTTATTTTTCTCATTGGTTTACTTCCTGCTGCTATTTTCTTCCTTTTTCTTCCAACTGTTCGGATATTGAACACAGTTCCACAACCCAATAAGGAGCTTAAAGTTTTCTACAAACTTCTATATATTTCACTTGGTGTTACTGGGTAGAACATGGTGTTGATTGTCCTACAGAACAAGTTGAGTTTTACAAGGATCGATGTTGATGGCATAGTGGTTCTTTTTTTTACTTCTTCTCCCACTTGATGTGGTATTTAAAGAAGAACTCAAACTCTGGAAGACTCAAAACCAAACCTTAAATGAATCAGATGCTTCTCGACTGAAATTAGTCACTGAAGTTCCACCTTCAGTTATGGAATTGCCTTTGCTAGAATCACAGGCATCACCAGCTTCCACAGCAACCAAAGCTTCAAAACTTTCTTGTTTGAGGACAATACAATATTCCAAGCTCTGTTCAGCATTGACATGTTGATTCTGTTCATTGCAACAACATTTGGTGTTGGTGGAACATTGACTGCACTTGACAATTTGGGAACTCATTGGGATACCGGAGTAAGAGCCTCACCACCTTTGTGTCCTAAGTCAGCATATGGAACTCATTGCATCAAGAATGATGTACTTTTCTGGGATATAATATCTCGTTGGTTATACCTCGTGCTTTATGAAAGTTTAATTCTGAATGTACAATGAAAGTATTTGATTAAATTTTGGTATTCAAGAATAGCTTGTCATTAATTTTAACGTGTGTATGAGTAACCTTGAAGATCGAACTTAGAGGTCAAATTAGCAAACGGGAAATCTACAACACAAACCTTTCGAACCTAGTTCTTCCAACACACGACGGCAAGCATTGTCTGATTGGAAATATTAAGCAAATGACAAGAAAACGTTTCAAAATTAATAGGTAGGATTGGATTTATATAGGAAGAAGAATGTGGCTTGGAACAATAACTTTGGATAAATGAATGAGAAGAGATGTCCTCATGTGAGTTAGCCAATGTTTTTAGATATGAACTCGGACAACGCAATGGTCTTCAAGTCATTGCGTTCAGAATTCTTCAATGTATCCTGTAACATTTAAATTTCAGTAGAGTCTCGAGTCAATAGAGTTTTCCTCAATGAATCCTGTGATATTTCTCTTGAATTAGCATCAGTTAAAACAAGCAAGAAAGGGAGATGGAGAGATTTACCTGAGGAAGTGGAAGTACAACAATTAATTCAATAGCAAAATATGTAACATAACATAAGCCAACCCAAACTGCAATTGCAAGGAATCAACTTGGAAATTTTAGTTTTGCTCTGATGCATCACATTACAGTACCAATATAGACTTGCGAACAAATTAATTAAACTAGATTTAAGATTCAGGACTATAATTCTTCTTTATTTGGTACAGACAAAATAGGCACATTACGGCCTCAATCTCCACTAATCATTATCTGTTAAAGTTCACAGGAAAAATAAACTTGGAACAAAATGGGTACCAAAACCCAAATTTATTATACTTACTGAGCTTCTAGGCTCAAACATATTTTATTAAGAGTAAACACATTTTTTAGTCCCTGGCAATATCTACTAAGTCCTTTTCAGTCCCTGACAATAAAAAAGGACCAAATTAGTCCCTGAAAGTACAAGAAAAGGGCCACTCTACATATTTGGGAGTTGACATAAGGACTAACATGACCCTTTTTTTGTAATTTCAGGGACCAATTTGGTCTTTTTTTATTGCCAGGGACTAAAAAGGACTTCGTAGATATTGACAGGGACTAAAAATGGTGTTTAGTCTTTTATTAATGAAAAATTCAAATTCAATATATGTTCTTCCAATTGCAACCAGAGATTCATAGCAAGTTTAAAGTAAATTTCAAATCACGGTGACAGTAAAAATCAATTTGAATGATAAATATCTGTTATTTGAACACAATCTTGGTAGGAGACCAAACTAAAAAAACAAAATTAATACGGCTTACAATACAAAATGGATAAAAAGTAAAAAGTTCAAAACAGGAAAAAAACAAGTAGAACTCAAGCACATTTGGTAAGTTCAATCTTTTAAATATGTGACAATGTGAAATTAATCCATTGAAGATGACTTCGGCATTACAAGTTCCTTGACAATCTGCTCCATGGTAGGGCGAGAACGTGAGGTTTCAGTCAAACAGGCAATTGCTATCCTTCCAATTGATTCCACCTCCTTAACAACAGGATTTATAGGATGAGGGAGACGCTGGTCCAACTTATCCATCAATGGTATAGCATTAAGTGTGGAGGCCATGACACTCCATGAAGATGATGATAGCAAAGAAGAAGATATAACATCTCCTGGGTGCTTTCCAAAAAGAATTTCCAATGCTAATACCCCAAAACTAAACACATCACTTTTCTCATTAACTTCCATTGTGTATGCAAGTTCTGTAGCAAATTAAAAGAACTGTCATGTACAAAATAGGATTCCACAAACAAACATGAAACGTGGATGATTATTAACTAGTTATGTTTGCAAATGACAACGGTTAAATATCAGAAGCACTATTATATAATGTGGGACTTTGTCCCTATACACTAATTTACTATATACAATCCTATTAAAGACAAACTACAAAATCATTAGTATAAAGAAAGTGAATTAACCTGGAGCAGCATATCCGAAGGTTCCTGCAAACGAGGTCCAGTGGTTTGAGTTAGGATTAAGAAGCTTAGCTGTTCCAAAGTCTGACAAATGAGCCACATATTGCAAATCAAGAAGAACATTCTTGCTTGATATATCACGATGAACAAATGGAGGTGAGCAATCATGGTGCATATAGCATAAAGCATCAGCTACACCTTTAACCACATTGACCCTCTTATTCCAGTCAAATGCAATTGCTTGTTCATCATCTTTCAAAATATTCTCCACACTTCCCTTCTCCAATAGCTCATAAACCAGAAATGAGAATCGTGAGTGTGAACAAAAGCCATATAATTTCACAATGTTACGATGTCGAATTTCTGTCAAAGCTTGGATCTCACTTGTGAAAGCTTTTAGATTGGACATTTCTCCATTTGGTATTGAATGGAGTTTCTTCACAGCTACAACTTGACCTGTGGGCAACTCTGCTTTGTAAACACATCCCTGCCCTCCAACCCCAATTAGATGGCTGTTGTCAAACTCTTCCGTGGCTTCAATAATGTTCTCATACACTATTTTGCCATCAAAACCCCATACTGCAAATAGATTTTGAGCTTGTGATTCTGCAGCTTGGTTTTCTTCTGTGCTTGAAGGTCGGCAAAGACAATATGAGACACCAAAAGCAAATAGTACTAGTACTACAGTGCCCAAAAGGGGTAAAACTACCAATATGACTTTGATAGTTTTATGATTATGAGATTTGCTACTTCGGCAAGGCTCTAGGCCAGAGACATTACCACACAAGCCTTTGTTATTTCTCAATGCTTCAATTGGAGCTTTTTGGAAAGCTAAAATGCTTGGAAGTGGACCCTCTAATTGGTTGTATGATATATCAATGGATGTCAAGCTTAACATCTGATCAAAGCTGGAGGGAATGGCACCAAAAAGATTATTACGTGAGAGATTCAATGTTTCTAAGTATTTCAGCTGTCCAAGCACTGGTGGTATTGTTCCACCCAAAGAATTCCCACTAAGATCAAAGCTTTGAAGAACTTTTAATTTGGCAAACTCAACAGGAATATTTCCCTTGAATTTATTTTGGCTCAAATTCAAGTTCAATAACTTAGGCAACCTTCCCAGTTGTTCTATGATGAAGCCATTCAAATTATTTGTTGCAAGATCCAAGGTATCAAGTTCTTGCAATGATGCTATTTGTATGGGAACATTTCCTGAAAGACGATTGTTGCTCATCAAGAGTTTGATCAATGAAGTCAAGTTGCCTAGTTCTTTCGGAAATTTTCCTGCAAGATGGTTTGAAGATAAGTCAAGTATACCTAAGTTGGTTGCCTCACCTAGTTCTGATGGTATAGCACCTGACAAATCATTGTTGGAGATCATGAGGGTTGCGAGGTTATGGCACTTTCCCCAGTTAGGTGAAAGATGGCCATAAAAATTATTTTCACTCAATCCCATGTATATCAGATTTGGATACACACCAAAAGCATCTGCTATATTTCCACTCAGTTGGTTTTGTTCAAGCCTAAGTCTTATGAGGCTGGTGCAATTCTTCAAGCTCTTTGGAACTGGACCTGTGAAATGGTTATTGGAAGCAGCAAAGAATTCCAACTTTCCACTAATGCAAATGTTGTGAGGCAAACTACCAATGAAATGATTATCAGATAGCTGCACACTTTCCAAATTGGTTAGCTTGTTCATTTCTATTGGAATGTTGCCACTGAGTTCATTTGAGTATAGAGCTAAGTAACTAACCTTTGTCAAATTTCCAATTGTAGAAGGAATTGGTCCAGAGAGATAGTTATTGGATAAATCAAGACTAAACATAGCTGTCAACATTCCAATTTCTTGAGGAATGGAACCAGAAAGATGATTGCTACGGACATGCAGTTGATTCATGTTTACCAATTTCCCAATTTCCATAGGAATGGAGCCAGAAATTTCATTCTCGTAAAAGAATAATTCCTTCAAGTTGACCAACTCCCCAATTTCCGCAGGAATGTGCCCAGAAAAATAGTTGTCCTGAAGATGTAGTTTCTCTAGGTTCCTCAACTTGCCAATTTCTTTAGGGATAGAACCATAAAAGTCATTATGTCCAAGCCACAAATACTTCAGGTATGACAGTTTCCCAATTTCCTGAGGAATATAGCCAGAAAATTTGTTCCGAGTTAAATCAAGATTGGACAAGTTGGCCAAGTTTCCTATAGAAATTGGGATAGACCCTGTGAGGTTGCAATTCCAAAGAGAAAGATAAGACAAGAAGGCTAGCTTCCCTATAGAAACTGGGATAGTCCCTGTGAGATTAGTAAATTCAAGACTAAGCTCTCTGAGATTCAACAATGCACCAATATCTTGAGGAATGGAACCACTGAAAATATTATTAGACAAATATAAAGTAAGAAGAGCAGGCAAGTGTGTTATTTCAGATGGAATTGTTCCAGAGAGATGATTGTGACTGAGATCAAGATGGGAGAGTTTGGACAACACCCCAATTTGGGGAGGAACACTTCCATTCAAGGAGTTACCACTTATATTTAGATTGAGGATGTTTGGAAGTGATGAGAAGTTGAGACATTGAAGCGTACCTCTTAGTCCCATATTTGCAAGCCTTATGTTGGAGACAGATGTGGACACGTCACACACAATTCCGAGCCAATTGCATGGACTATTCCCTGTCCACGAAGATAGTGAAACCTGGCTTTGGTTGTCAAGGCTTGCTTTCCACTTCAACAAAGCATTTGCTTCTCTGCTTTGTGATGTTGCTAAAACAGTCTTGGAAGAACCAGCAACATGAGAAGAAGAAGAAGAAGCCATTGCGAATGCACCAAAGCACATTACAAGTAGAACCAAAAATATTACAAACTTGTTGGACTGAAGCGTTGGAGATACCAACACCATGGTGGTTAAAGGGTGAATTAATTAATCAAAGTATGATATGCAGTTCGTAGGATGATGCAGATACTTATATTCGTAAGTCACGGATACGAGAACAGAAGTCAAGCAGCCCACGAGTCCTAAACATAACTCCCCTTGAGTTTCCTAGAACATCAAATAATTTAGGCCTTTTATAAAATATAAAATATAAAACAAAAATAATATCTATTTAATTTTTTTGACAAATTATTTATACATTTAATACGAGTGCAATATAACCCCCCGATGATTATATTAGGAATTACTTGTATTATATCCTAGGAATAGATTAATTAATAGAAATATTCTATTCAGTCCGATAAGAAGATTAATAAGATCAAATCAAATCTCAAACTATGTATTCGCAAGGAATCTTGTCTGCGAATTCTTTTTTCAAACCGCTACAAGATCAACAATTCCATGGACTTGAGCTTCTGCTGCTGACATAAAAACATCCCTTTCCATGTCTTCGGATACAAGCCATATGGGCTGTCAAGAACGTAGAGGAGGTAGGATGGACAGTTGATCAGATCTAATATGGATCGTACATAGACGGTAGTTGGAGTCGGTGGCTCTCCTAGGGTTTCCTCATCTGAGATCCTGGGGAAGAGGATCAAGCTGGCCCTTGCGAACAGCTTGATGCACTGTCTCCCTTCAACCCTTTGAGCGAAATGCTGCAAAAAGAAAAAAAATCATACACCGACCCCATCGTCTCCATCCCGTAGGAACTACGATATCACCCCAATACGCCTTCGGCATCCAGGCTATATGTATTTAAGTAGCGCATCCCTTTGATACACTACTTACGCAAAAGTTATCGTATTTCAATCAAAAGTCAATAATTCACCGTTGGTTTGAGGTTTTACCGACAACTTAGCTGACCATAACATTGCCAACGAGTATATTTTGGAATCAAACATATTATTAGATTTACCATACTGTTTTTTCTTATTATTACAAGCATAAAGGATGCAATAGCATTTTAAATAGTTTGAACATCAAACATATTTTTTATTTATATTTTTATATTAATAGTAATCCATATTTTTATGTAAATTTAATTTAATTTTTTGAAACAAGACATGAAGATATTTTATACAAATGTTTAGTCCGAGAGGATGGTATTTGACTTGTAGTGTGTCGTACGTTTAAAAGTTAGTCTTTGCAAGAGGCGGACAGAGTAAAATGTTCAAATATCAATGCCGCATGAGTGAGGTGATTGTAAGTTGTAACAAATATTCTAGAGGGAGTAAACTTTTGTATGATCTTAGACAAGGAAAAAAAAAGTTGCGCAAAATTTTGTTCTTTCTTTCTTTTTTATTTTTAGTACACATTCTTTCTTTATTTATATATGCTTGAATATTATTTTAATCGTTATAAATACTATTAGTTTGAATAAAACATAACATTATTTGTTACATATGTGTCATCTTAATATGATTATCATATAATTAAAAAACTATTAATATACTTGCAAGTTGGTATAAAAATTATTAAACATTTAACATACGAACTTGTTAAGTTATGTCAAGTTGTGTTATGACTTTTATAATTTTTAACAGGGAATACTACTCTTATTTTATATAAGAGTAGTTCTCTCATGTTATAAAGAGAAGTCAGATAGAACCCACTATTAAAGAAAAAAAAAAGATGTGATTTTTGAAGTGAGAGAACATGAAATAACTATTTCGTATAAAATCAGAATAAGATTTTTCTTTTTAATAATATTGTACACAGATTTGGGGGAGCTAATGGGAAAGATTGCATCGGTGTACTGAACAAAAGTATCACATTTAAAAAGCATTCAGGAACCTCCAAATGAACAAAAGCTTAGGTACACAAATAAGTGCGAGGAGCTTTTTTTTTTTTTTTTTAAAGTACAAGTTGTAGAAAGGAAAAATCCAGGAAAGGCAAAAGCAAGAAAAAGTTTCCAATGGGTCAAGCGTTAATATTTTGACCATCTTACTCTATTTGTGAATATTTAATGGAATAATGGTTTTCCTTATAAACTTCTTGCGATTAGCATCACAACTTGTGTTGGACAGAATTCGGGAAAAAAGGGAAATTTTTTTGAATACATCAAATGTACTCACTTGGGTGCATCTTCTTTTCAAATAGAGAAATTAATTTTCCATTTATAGTCTTGTTTTTCTTTATTTTTTCTTCTAAATCTCAAAAGCTTTTTCCACTAGGCAAAGATGTATCTATATCTAATGTACCAAAAGTTTTCTTTAAGAAGGATACAAAAAAGTAAGATGAGGAAGGTGAGAAAAAGAAGAAGAAAAAAGTAGGTTAGCTATGTAATGATGTATAATGAAATTAATAATGGTGTGTATGGTTATGATTATGGTAAAATTATTTCTGCAGCCGCTTTACGTACAGCAACAACAGATGTATGGTTATGATTTCCCATATTTAATGCTTTAATCCTTTGTATGGTTATGATTCCCCGTATTCAATGCTTTTAAGTATATATATGGCAAGTATTTGATTGTTGTACATACAGCAGCTGCAGAAATGTAAACCCCTATATATATATATATATATATATATATATATATATATATATATATATATATATATATATTACAAACTTTTTTTACAAATTACACTAAGTATAACCAGTCATACACTCTTGATTAAGTATGACCGGTAAGGGTGATAAACAAGTCAGGGGCCTTTGGCTCGGCTCGTGAAGGCCTGAGCTTACATGCCTAATATTAGTTGTTGGAACCAGGCTTGGACTTGTATAAAAGCTCGTTTAGTAAAACGGTCTCATGTTCCAATTCAAAAGCTCGGCCTTGAAGCCTCTCAGGCTGGCCTAGTATATTAATTTTTATTTTTATTTATATCTTTTATACTATTTGTAATAACCCCCTCTCTCCTCTCAATCCATTTCACCCCTATTTTATTATTTAAACAGACTTTTTGAATGATTTTGTTCTATATTATGCTGTTTGAATATACATTGAATTTATGAATATTTATGGAATTACTAGTGTTGTTGATTGTATATTCTGTTTGGATAAATTTTTGTTGTCTTGTTTTTTTCTAACAGGCTAAATAAGGCTTTCATTTTTTGTAAATAAGGCATGCTACATGCCGATAATTATATTCGTAACAGGTAACAGGCTTGGTAAGGCCGACACATTTAAACACAAGCTTAGCCTTTTAAGACCAAAGCTCGGCTCGGCTCGGCCCGTTAACACCCCTTATGACCGGTCATACTTAGTGTAGTTTGTAAGAATTTATAAACAAAAAGTTTGTAAATATAACCTTCCCCATATATATATATATATATATATATATATATAGGGCTTATAATTTCTCAAGCTGCTTGAGATAATTTTATCTCTAGCTACTAAATCATAACCGTACAAAGATGAATCAATGATGATAAAGGAAGAGAGAGAAAAAGGGAATCATAACCATTCAAAGGTGAATCAATTAATATAAGGAAATAAATAAACAAAACGACGTAATTTTAGGGTGGCCGGAGATAAACTTATCTCAAGTTGCCGGAGAAATATTTTTCCGTTTTATATATATATATATATATACATATATATATATATGAACTATTGGATTTATGCGGAAGCGATTTAGGACCTAGTACATTGGTATGCTTACCGAATCATCCTCGTTTCACAATTACCTCTTGGTGCGCAGATCTCGTGTAGAATCTTCCCTTGTATAATTCCTCTTCACGAACTGCTCAACTCAGCGCCGCAGCATGAACAACCTCCTTGTAGCTGGACTGTGGCAGATCTTTCAGACTATGTCTCAAGGGAAAATGGGAAGTTTGAGGGCACTCTCTCACTTTCAGGGAGATTACCTTACCTCAGCTTCTGCAACCGCCAAGTGAAGACTAGAAAGGCTGATGACTATAAGTATAGAATATATATGGGTTCCAAGAAACCCTAACCCTAAGCAGAATGAGTTTTAGGTTTCTTGGACTTTTCTTACACACTAGCCCCTATTGGGTTTTAGTGAAAAAGCAAAACCCAACAATCTCTCACTTGCTCTTGAGTACAAACTTGAGCTCAAAGCTCAAGTCCATGTATCCCACTAGTTGTCATCAACTGAAATTGTCTCATCCCTTATCTCGAGCTAGCCTGGGGATCTACCATCTGTTATTAATCAAGGCTATTGATAATCAACGAATAATTATCTAATTCGGTGCTACTCCACTAAAAGCCCGAACTTGAACTCCAAGATTAATAGCACTTATAACACGAATATGCATCGCCCCTTTGTAGAATGTCTATAATTGATTGACAAGTTTTTTGTAACTCAATCAATTATTTATTCCCTTGACTATGATAGTTTCTCTAACGGATTACATGCACTCGCCAGTGTCTTTAATATCCAAGTATCGAAACATTTCAAGGGGACATATCCTACAAATTCCATGTTGTTTATCTCATAAATATTGATAATCAAATAATCTTACTCCCAAAATATCGAGTTATTGGTCGTCAATAGATCGAACCTCACCCGTTGATAAATCAAAGAATGAAAACTATTTGATTACCTATTTATAATAAACTCAGGATTAAGAGCAATCACCTAACTATAGTTAACTGGAGATTGGATACCTTATGACAGAATAACAACCTTAATCAAATCTCTCCTTGATCCTTTCAATGTGAATATTAATTCACACTAATATTTTACAATGATTCGGAAAAAACCATTTCATAAAATATTGCAGCCTAAATAAAGTGCCCAACTTTATTTAACAGTTGTGAATCTATTCATCAATTGTGAGAACCTGTGATCATGTCCTCCATGAACGTATCCATATGATCATATACTCCACAATTGATCCGGACCTTGATGTTTGTAAATAGTGAGCAAACTAAATAAATAATACCTCATTTGTAAAATTCAGAAAATGA